ATTATAATCTCCTTCCTTGTGTAATAAGAGTGTAATAAGGAAGTAGTAGCCATCAGTCAGCAATGTCTTCCTTCCTTCCTTCCTCCTTCCTTCCTTCGCTCGCTCGCTCCTTCCCTCCCTCCTTCCCTCCCTCCCTTTTCTTCTTTCCTTTATTTTTTAAATAACACAAGACAGCCAACATATCCAACATACCTTCCTTTTTCCTATTTCCCCCAGAACAACAACACTGTGAAATGGGTTGGGTTGAATAGTTTAACTCAATGGGCCACGGGACTTGTTCTTCCCTTTTCTTCTTTTCCCTTCCCTCTTCATTCTCCTTTCTTCTTCCTTCCCCTCTTTCTTTCTTTTTCCTTCCTTCCTTCCCCTCTCCCCCTCTTTCCTTCCTTTTCTTTGTCTGTCTTCTTTCCCTTTCTCCTTCCCCGTTCCTTCTTGGATGCTCAAATGCAAACGGGGAAACATTTCTCCTTTTGTTTTGTTTTTAGTTTGTTTTGCTAGCCGTCTGCCAGCGAAAAGCGAAGGATTGGCCCTTGGTGCATCTGCCAGTGAAAATGGAGCCTGGGACGGCTGTGCACGGCCCTCCCAATTCCATTTTCAGTGGCAGAGGCACTGTGGGCCAATCCTTCACTGTTTCCAGGGTGGCTCCGTGGGCCAGATTTCAGCACTCCATAGGCCGGAACTGGCCTGTGGGCCTTGAATTTGACACCCCTCATTTAAGTCAATAACTGCTAACATTGCGGCTTGCATTTGAAATTACAACAAAGTTTGATTGTTTCATGATTTATCCTGTGATTAATGATCAAAATATAAGCTGAAATGAAAAAAAAAATTATACAATTCTTCCTTCTCTGCTTTTTGCCGTGCATACAATTGTGTGGATATCCCAAAAAGATGCTTTTTCAAAAGGCAGCTGGACTTTTCCTTGAAGACATTTTGCTTCTCATCCAAGCAGCTTCTTCAGTTCTGACTTCAGTGAAGTAATTCTCAGACTGATCCAGAATGGGGCAAACTAAATTATTTGGAGAGAGATGAGAAATGGACCGAGAACAAAAATGGATGCATTTAGCTTTTCCAGTCTTGTTTCTTCCAAGCAATAAGAAATCCTCAGTCTTTTTATTAGAGTGATCTCTCCTGATAACCATTGATAGGAAGATCTATAAGAACTTTCTTTTTCAACAATCACCTTTGTCTGAGTAATGGTGATCTTTACTGGAAATGGAAGCCAAGGAATCAACAGAACATCAGAAGAACATTGAATAACAGTGAAGTGAAGGGCAGAGTTGCCAGAAGAAAGTTACTGCTCTCCAAAAAGAACATTGCTGACAGTCTATTATTTGCAAAACACCACTTAGGCTATTAGAAGTATTTCTATGAACAGATGAGACCAAAATAGAATTTTTTTGGCTTGAATGAAAAGCATTATATTTGATGAAATTCAAACACTGCAGATTGGATAAGAAGCTTTGCTGCTTCTGGACCAGGTTGACTTGCTCTCTTTGATGGAACTATGAATGCTGCATTAGAAAACTACAAGAAAATGTCAGGGTGTCTATCCATGAACTGGAGCTCAAGAGAAACTGGATTATGTGGAAAGACAATCTCAAAATCCATAAGATATATGACCAATGAAAGGTTAAAACAGGAGAAAGTCAATGCTTTGGAAAGGCTAAGTCAAAGTCCTGAACTTAATCCTATAGAAATGTTTTGGAAGGACACAAAGAGGGCAGTTCATGTGAGGGATCCCATTCATATTTTAGGATTGAAGGTATTCTATAGGGAGCAATAGGCTAAAATTCCTCCAAGCCAATGTGTAGGACTCATAAAAAGTTATGGGAAAAGTTTTACCAGGTAAGTCCAAAAAAGGGAATGCATATACTAATGTACATGTACTGACTGCAGCTAGAATTGTATTTACACAAGAATGGAAAAGTGAAGAGATCCCAACAGATGAAAATGTGATTAAAAAATATTAAAATGTGCAGAAATGGATAGGCTAACACTTACAATTAAGGAAAAGAAAGAAACTGAATACTTTTTGACCTGGGACTCATTTTATCAATGGTTAGCTGACAAAAACAGGAGTTAGAAACAGGGAAAGACAAGGAAAAGATCAATGATATAAGGAAGGTATGTTAAAATGGTCAAATAAACATCACCATCATCATCGTCATCAATAATAATAATAATAATAATAATAATAATAATAATAATAATAATAATAATATCTTAACAGTTCCTAGGTCCTTGGTTAGGACTCGAGCTGCTGAGCTATTAACCAGCTCAAAGGCTGTGAATCTCACTAAAGATTAACCAATAATAATAATAATAATATCAATACTAATGTAATGAACACTGTTGTAAATATTTTGATTACTATTTCCTAAAACTATTTGTACCTAGACAACACACTGTTTAATTGAAAATGGAATTTTTATGTGCCATAAAATAAAAAACTTGGGGGAAAAATTTTATGGGAAAAGTGTGGTTGTAGTTTTGCTGTCCAAAGAGAGCACACCAGTTCCTGAAAGCAAAGGCTGACATACTTTTGTCATACACAAATATATAGCTTTGGATCATTTTCTTCAATAAACGAACATGCATATTATTTTTGTACTCATTTCTTTAATTGGATTCTTTTACCTATAGTTAGGATTTATGTGGAGAACAGATCACATTGTAGGCCCTATTTTTACAGAGATATTGAAAATTCTAAAAGATTCACAAACTTTTAAGCATATCTCCCTCTCCCTCTCCCTCTCCCTCTCTCTCTCTCTCTCTCTCTTTTTCTGTCTCTCCCTCCCTCCTTCCCTCCCTCCCTCCCTCTCTGGGGTGGGTGTGTAGTGTGTGGAAGGACCATACTATTATTCCTTGGCAGAAAACAACAATAAATCTTTAGACACCATGAGGACTTGGTTTATGGCATAAATGTTTGTAAAATATGTGAACTGCACCCATAAATCTTTGTCATAATAAATATGCTACTTTTAAAGATCTTTGGGGAGCTTTCTTGATTTTTCCCCACTTTTTTTTCCTCCAAAGTAAAGAAATGAATGTATCTAGAAAGAATTTGATGGCACATAGTTTCAACAAGAATAGTAATATTAATATTGGTAATAGTTTGCCTCACAGCTTCACACTTGTTTAGTTTTTGTGGCATTAAAAGGATGGTCTTGTTATATATCCTCCAGTCTAATTATAGCTTCTCAGGCAAGATAATGCTCAGAAAGGATCATACTGTTCTGATCTAGGCTTCCCTCAAAAGCACGAAGCAGAATCCTAGTAAACCCCTTTTATTAAACAGACAGTGAATTCCTCTCATTCACCTTCAGCAAAGTCTTTCAAGGGAAAATTTACAGTCATAGACCTCATCTGGCTTGGAGAGCTGCAGGCTGATATCTTCAAAATTTGGGAGACTCTGAGAGTCACAGACCAATTAGGTGAAGTAATTGTCTCCTGCAAACTCCACTCCCCTTTCTCTCCTCTTTTATTCCCTCTGGGAGGGCTATTCATCATCCACCTGTGGCCTTACTCCCAAGTCAACCCTTGTTCTTTAGCTGTTCCCTTTGTCTGGCAACTCTGTGCATGTACATACTGGGAACAGGCTCCATCTGTTTGTCTGCCTCACTGATGTCTGACTCTGAAGGCAGCTGATAACTGGCATCTGGCCCTGGCCCCTCTCTGCCTCCGACGCAGAGCCCTCATCAGAGCCTTCCCCAGACTCCAGGACTGGCCCATGTTCCTCCCCAACCTCCTCACTGTCCAAATCTGCTGCCAGCTTATCAAGGAGAGATCCAACCTAGAACTAAGGAGAAATTTCCCAACTTAGAAAAATTAATCAGTGGAAGGGCTTGCCTTCAGAAGTTGGGTACTCCAACACTGGAGGTTTTTAAGAAGAGATTGGATGGCCATTTCTCCAGAAAGGTATAGGGTTTCCTGTTTGGGCAGGGGTTAGATTTAAAGACCTCTAAAGTCCCTTCCAACTCTCTTTATTCTGCATTCAAACTATCTGCAGGGAGGTTTTAAATTTTGGGGAGAAGGGAGGACCCGTACCAACTTTTTCCAGTAGTTTATAATTAAAATTGTAATTGCGTTGTAGATACAGACTTCTGGTCAATAACATGATAGATGAATACTGTATAATCTCTTCCAATCTCTATGCCAAACTTCTATTTTCAACATCAATGGGATTGTGTGAGGTTTTTTTTCATTATTGCTGCTGTTTTTTTGGTTGTTCTTTTTCCACAGACTCTTTGAATGTTAAAGTCAGTCACAGGTATTTGAGCTGCAAAACATTGACTCCTAATATTTGCTATTAAAGCCTTAAATCCATGGATTTATTTCCGTGGTCCCAACATCTTAAGGAAGACTAAAACGCTATTAAAACTTCAAATTTTGTAATGTTGTATTATCTTGAATCCTCTTTAGGAAGGATTTGGGGATCAGTGATGCAACACCATGAGTGGTAGACAAAAATCCAGCATAGAGGATTACATTTTTTAAAAAAAATATATAAAGATTAAGTTGCAGCTACGCCATCTGTATTAAGGGAGACAAAAGGTGAAAGTTGTTTGGAGATGGGCAACTGTCCAATCCAAATTTCAGCTTCAGGCAAGAAAATTGGAGGATATAGGAGGACTTTACTCAATTTAATTTTGATATAACAATTTATGGATATGTGGTGTAATTTCTACACTACCTTGGGATTAAAAAGTGTTTAAGAACACAAATGTGCAGCCCTTGTCAATTTCTGCCACTAGGTTATGACTGTAGTTCAGACAAAGATGCTGAATATTTATTTAACATTGAATGTCAGAAAGTACATATTTTAATTTCATTTTTTAAAAAATTTGATTTATATGCCGCCCTTCTCCGGAGACTCAGGGCGGATTACAGTGCGTTAAGCAGTAGCCTTCATACTTTTGTATATGTGTATAGAGTGTATATATATATATAGAGAGAGAGAGTGGAGATATTCCATTATAAAGTCTTCTCTTGGGTTTTAGTGGAAATGGAAGCCAGGCAATCAACAGAATAGCAAAGAAAGGACTGAGCAATGAAAAACAAGATGCTGGCAGATGTCTCCCTGGCCAGATTCAGTCAAGGAAAATTCTTGGACTGTGAAAACATAATATTCATGGCTTGTGTTCTCAAAGCAATTATCATCACGTTTTCTAGATACCAAAGAAGAAACAGGTGTTTGCACTGGATTACTAAAACAGATGTGACATTTATGCTCCTGTCAAGATTCTGATTGCTGATGAAATGCTAACATTTTGAAGCAAAATCTATGAGGCTTTAGATTTCAGAAACCCAAGTTTGTTTTTGGGATGATAAAAGCAGTCACTGATAAATAGAAAGGCCAAATCATTCATTCATTCCTACATACATTAGACTGGATCAGGCCCAATCTCCTTATGTATCTTACTTTAATATTTTCCACAGTGTCTATATTTTATTGGGCTTTTGAGTGTTTACATCTTTCTTTGGGAAAAAAAAACAATTATGGGCATCTGTTAACAAGCAACACCTTCTGGGATCAGCCATATTCTGCATTGGGTCTTCTGTTCACACCAGTGGTGGAATTCAAATTTTTTTACTACTGGTTCTGTGGATGTGGCTTGGTGGGTGTGGCTTGGTGGACCTGGCAGGGGAAGGATACTGCAAAATCCCCATTCCTTCCCCACTCCCCACAAGAGCCTTGGTAGTACTAGGGTTTAAGGCACCCTGTTATTAAGCTGCTTAAGACCAGCTGCCTGCAATTACTGCAGGGTTCGAATCTCGCCAAGGCTCAAGGTTGACTCAGCCTTCCATCCTTTCTAAGGTAGGTGAAATGAGGACCCAGTTTGTGGGGGCAATAAGCTGACTTTGTATAAATATACAAAAGGATGAAGGCTATTGCTGAGCACATTGTAAGCCGCCCTGAGTCTTCGGAGAAGGGCGGCATATAAATCAAATTAAAAAAAAAAAAAAAAAAAAACTCCTGGGGAAAGGATATTGCAAAATCTCCATTCCCACCCCACTCTGGGGCTAGCCAGAGGTGTTATTTGCCAATTCTTTGAACTACTCAAAATTTCCGCTACTGGTTCTCCAGAACCTGTCAGAACCTGCTGAATAGAACCCCTGGTTCACACCCAAGCAACTAGATCTGGGAATTACAATTAATACCACATAAATTTGATGGGTACTATCGGAAAATTAGCAAGACAGGCAGGAGTAGCCTAGAGTATTCATTGTTTGACAGGGAAGAAAGACTGATTGATCTTCCAATAATCTTCTCCCATATAGCCCTGGCTCAGTAGAAGCATTGCCTCTATGCCTGTTTAGGTATCCATTAGGTAAAGTAATCATCTCACCATGCAAATATTTAGAGTGATCCATAAAGAATAGTCATAAAGGATTGTCCACTGACAATCCACCACTAATTGTAATATATTATCTTCTATTTTAAATTTTTAAAAAGGTTCTTTTTTTATAAAGCTGGTCTGTGATCATAATCAAAATTATTTACTAATGCATGCAAACCTAGGATGAAAGGATAGAGACAATATGTTCTTTATAATACTTGTCCTTGCTGAGTTCATAAAATAATAAATAACTAATATTTTTTAATCCACTTAGCAGATAGCTTAGATAGTGACAAAATAGCTGATATCTGAATACTCAGACAGAAAGACTATTAAAGCTTTCTGTAAAACTGCTTCCAAATCTCTCCTTCTGTATTAACAACTTTGATGGAATGATCCATAATTATCTGAAGTAGAAAAAATGCAATTGAATTCTGAAATTTTCAAAAGTCCAAAGTAGACAACAAGAGAGAGAGAAGATGATTGTGGTAATAAATAAAAACATATCAGGGTTCCAACCAATGCCCCAATTAAAATATGAATTTCAATCCGAGGTTCAAAAGAAATCCAGTTATTTATTAGGAGCATCATGTTGTCATGTACCAAGTGAAGCCAACTCTGACCTCACTTAATTCGTGCCTTGACCCTGATCCTGTTTTCTCTTCTCCCCAAGGTGTGTCATCAGTCACATTTCCCAATGAAGCAATTTTGTGAGTTGTAGAAGTCACTCCCTCCAGCCACTGTGGATCTCCATGGAGATGGCCTTGATATTTGCCAGCTGGAATGTGCTTTGTTTTGACTGAGGTGAAAACTCCTCGATACAGTTGCAAAGCTCAATTCCCCATCCCCCTGCCTATAGCAACTTGAGAGCAGGTTGGGAAGGCTTCACAAGTTGACAACAGAATTATAAATCTAAGTCATTATTTAGGAATAATACTATATAAGGAAGCGTAGCATAGAGGCTCAGTGATAAACATGCTGGGCTTGTCAACTAGAAAGTCAGCACCCAAATTCGACACCTGACTGCCACATGACGGGGTGAGTTCCCATCCTCGTCCCAGCTCCTCCCAACCTAGCAGCTCAAAAGGATCTCAATGCAAGTTCATAAATAGCTACCACTTCAGTAGGAAGGTAACAACGCCCCATGATATCATGCTGGTCACATGACCGTGAATGGTTCAATGTCCTTGAAATGGAGATGAACACTGCCCCCTAGAGTTGGTAACAACTAGCGAAGTAAAATCTGCAAGGACTTTTACTATATAAGGAAACAAGATGTAGAAGGGTAGAACCAAGTGGTTTGAAAGGGTATACCGAGATTGTATTTTCCCAGGAAGTACAAAAATCAGACTGTTATTCTGAAATAGCATTCCTGTCTGAATACTGGGAGTGGAAGGAGTGGAGGAAGACTGACTCTCCAACTCAGTATAGCAAACTGGGTCCACCTTTTAAATTTCCCACAATCATCGTGGGAATTTAATTCATTAAAGTAATAATTTTCATTGAAATGTTCCTCTAGAGACATTATGAAAAATTAGTGTGGAAGCTTACAAGGTTGACCATGCCACATTCCACCCAGAAATACTTCCCAGTAATTATCTATTCTGGAAGCAAGTTGAGCAATTAATTTGAGAGAACAGGCAGGAGAATTTCTTTCTGCACGGTGCTATGACTGAAGCATGTAACCACTTGATCCTTGTTACCCAATTCATATTTAATTCCGGGGCTTTTCTCTCCCCCTGGAAAGGAGAAGAATAGCACGAAGACCCCAGGCCTTTGCTTCCTTTTGCTTCTGCGGAGAAGGTTGCTAAGGATCAGGCGCTGCCATTTAAGAGGTTATCATTTGCTTCCTCTTGAATTATGTCTCATTAATACAGCTTTGTGCAGCATTATTACCTGACAGATATGCATGCTTCTGTAATACAGGTGCCAAGATTAAATCAAGACAAATGAAAATAGATAATCATTCCCAAGGAGATTTTTTTTAAAAAAGCATCTGTTGGCCAAATGCCCACAAAGAGCTGTGAAAGGCAGATATGCCTATGTATGCAGCTTCCTTAATACATTTCAGAAATTGTCTGCTATTCTACTTGTAAATATCGGGCATTTGGGTGGGATTTGGAAGCTGCTTCTTCTTCTTCTTCTTCTTCTTCTTCTTCTTCTTCTTCTTCTTCTTCTTCTTCTTCTTCTTCTTCTTCTTCTTCTTCTTCTTCTTCTTCTCCTCCTCCTCCTCCTCCTCCTCCTCCTCCTCCTCCTCCTCCTCCTCCTCCTCCTCCTCCTCCTCCTCCTCCTCCTCCTTTTAGTTAGTTGTGGTAGTGGTCCAAATCTACTGTTCTAGCTAAAGAATCTGGGAGCCAGACCAAGATTTTCTCTAAAGCACACATTGTCTTTGTTATTAAGTCATTCAGCCTTGAACCACTTTAGGAAACCAAAATAGCAACTCATTTACTGTATAGAATGCTATTGCCCATAAATAAATATGTGCTTTTATGCAGCAAAAATTTCCAGTCTATGAGGCAGGGCAGGTAAATGATGGCCAACATTGACCAGGGAACAATTCTATTTATTTTCCAGGCTAAAGAAAGCTCAGCCAGCTTTTCTGTTTCTTCTCAGAATGGCTGAGAATGAAATTATCCATTTCCCAATATGTGATTTACTTATAAGATTATCTATGTGCTGGAGTCTGACCAGTGAATTGATGCAGCGTATCTCCTTTGGTTTATCCCTCAGCATCATTCTGTCATCCCTGAAGATCACCAGCCTAGCTTACTTTGCTTAAAAATTGTGCACGTATTCATAGCACACAGGCTGTGCTCTTATAAACTGGGCCAGTTCTGCACATGAGAAAAAGATCAGAACGAAAGCCAACAATTATTGAGATTCATTTATTTATCTACAGGCTTTTTTATTCTCTTCCCCTTGAATTGTTTGAGGCTGGATGAGATACAAATTTAAATCCTCTTCCTCTTCCTTCTCCAGCATCCTCTGAAAACTCTGGGTAGTGTACAACACAGTAGAAATATCAGACACAATAAACAAAAGATGCCTCAACTAAATAAACTAAAGTTACAAGAGCAGAATAAAGTGGTCTTGATGTCTTTATGAAATACTGGGAGGGAACAGGAAGCTTGAATATCTGGTGGTACAGTATTTTATAGCAGGAGGGCTACAACAATTATCTTTCTGCCTGGGGAAGCAAAGACCATACATGAAGATGATATTATTTTGCTGACCTAAGTGTGAGAATCAATGGACATGGAATGAGAACACTTGCCGCAGCCATTTCGTCATGGCCAGCCTGCCACAGCCATCTTGCCACGGTCATTATGCCACAGCCACCTGCTGCCACCATCTTGCTGCAGCAACTCATCAACTTGAGTTGGCTGCAGCAAGTTGGCCACGGTGATAGATGTCAGCACTTCAACCTGCATTTACTCTAGTGCTGACATAAGAAGGAGAAGAGGGGGCAGCTGGCAAGAAGACGCTTGACATTTCACCTACTTATTTTCCTTGAAGATAATATCTCCTAGGAGATGAGAGGGAGGGGGGACATTCCTGGGAGCTTAAGTAGTAGATATGGGGAGAGTGATTTGGAAGAAGGCCAATGAGACGCAGAGATTTGGGGAACGGAAAGGGAAGGTTTGGGGTCAGGAAGTCAGAGTTGGCTGGGCCACGATCGGGGGCAGATTGTCGTGCTTAA